TCAGTAAATTTTCTCCACATCTCCGTCTACACTTGCTATGACAACAAATATAGCATTTTCAAAAAGGAAACTGCTTTGATGATTTGGCGTCTTCTTCCAGCAAACCCCTTTTGAAAGCATTTGTATTTAACAGCTAAGTGATTATTTTTTTCTAAAACAATCAGCTCCGTCTAAGTGGCAGGATTTTTTTTTTTATGAGCAATCATAAGCCTTCAGTATTGTGTACGCAATTTCCAAATGAATCAGTTCAAGAGCCGATATTCCACAGACAATTTGTAAGGAAGCAACACTTAATACTGGAAACCCAAAGATCTTTATATTAAAAGCAAAATCTAATAACAGTAAGTGCAATCTAGTTAACATTAAATCTAAAAGCACCACATCAAATACAACCAGAAACCCATGAATGAGCCCACTGCACATTTGCTCTTTTCATGGAGCAGACAAAATCACATTAGGGTTTGCTGGAACAGCTTGTGTTTACCTCAGCAGCAGTGCAGTGTGCAGGGAGAAAAGAAAAAAGAAAAAAGGCACACCCTGCAGTTCACAGTTATCTGATAACGCTTGTATAAATACGGCACCTGAACAACAGCTAGATGGATAAAACACAGCGAGACGGTCCGATCGCTGAGCTGTGGGGTTTAATTTTTGTTCAGAAGTTTCTGACACATCATTGACATGTGCATGTCAATGTTGAACTATCTGTTCAAACTCTTCCTTCCCCCAAGAGGATGTTTTAAAGAGCATATGCTAAAGATGTCAGAGGTGCTCAGAATAGACACGGAGGTTAGCTGCCTTTTAAATAACTCTTTCTAAGATAGAAAAAACTTTACATGCAGTTCTGCCCTGAATTAGTCAGAAATACTTGCTCTCCCCCAGAAAATCTTTTCCTTTCAAACTTCACCCATGAATTATCTTCACCTCTGCACTCTCCAACACAAGAAACACTTTCTTTTTTGGTAAAAGAGTGAAAGCCCATTCAGCATTTTTGCAGTAGTGTTTAAAGCCTTTCATTATAAAGCCGTTGTACACTTCAGACCTCTCAGGGTCCAAAAGTTGTGAGCACAGATGATAACTTAACCTAATTATGTACAGGCACCACTGTGTGGAGTGTGTAGATGTAATAGACAAAGATGGAGAGGCAGAAAAATCACACAGGCAGAGCACGAGAAAGAAAATAAATGTATTAGTGGGTGATTGATTTTGAAGGTCTAACACTAGAAGTAAAGTATAGGAAGAAAAGCTAGAAATTCTTTTTGGAGGTAAAATAACTCCTGTACTGTGCATTCACACATAGCACACGGCAGGATGGGCAAATCTTTGATGGCACGGCTGCATAATGCCGTCTAATGACATTATGACCATCTTGAGGTGATGCAGTGAGTGACAACCAGCCTCTTTAACGTGATCAGGGAGAATGCTTTGATGAACATAACCACATGTTATGTCGAAGGCTTCTGTTCCCTGAGAGAGACGACCACATATGGTACGGGATGTGATGACATACAACAAGCAGAAATGTTGCTGTGATGCATTTTTAGTCATATTAGAGGAATAACGTCTGAAACTGACTGGAGTTGTGTTAATGTGGAGGTAACTTTCTGCATATTATATGTTGAAATAATGACTTCTTTGTAGAGTACTTGGATTTAGTGTGCAGAGGCTACTTACAGGGACTCAGTGGCCACCACCCTCTGTGCCAGTCCATACAGAGTGCCACTGTTAGTGAGGACCACCATTTGGCTGAGATGGGGGCTGGGAACCTTCTCCTTCCTGTCCTCTGCCGGCCCATGGACTCCTGCGTTCTCCCCCACAGCCTCCTGCAAGAAGCACAGATGGAAGGGCGAGTTAGCATGCCGAGTAAGTAATGGACTTATTTTTGCCTTTTCAGTTTTGAAAGAAGTAAAATTAAGACAAGCTTGATGACATGAATTATACATATGATATCAGCATTACAGTTTCTTCCAAGTCCAGTTATTAACCCAGTGAACCCCCAAAACACACTGGTGGTTTTGAAAGACAGATTATCTTAAAAGAAATTGTGGAATAACAGGAAGAATATTCAGAACTGCAAGCAGAAGCGTAAAATCGTGATTTTTCAACAAAATCCCTGTGTTTTAAATCTCTCATTTTAAAAAAAATACTCAAAAAATAAGCCACTTGCTCGAACCAGATTCTGTAAATGACAAAAGAATTCATACTTTCTCAGCGCAAGTGTGAAACTATAAGTGATTTATCTGCAACCAACAGTCACATGAGAAAAAAGCTGTTTACACAAACAGATAGGAAACAAATATGGACACAAGTTAAGAATGTGAATTATCTGTAGTAGGTAGAGTCACCTTTGTCCCCTATTGGTTAAAAAAAAAGAAATCGAAAAATGTTGTTCTACTTTCGTAATTCTATACAAAGACATTATTTAAATCTTTCTACTTCTAGACGTGGTTTCTCTGTTTCCAAAGAGGTGCAGGATTTTAAATTGCAGTAAAAAAAAAAAATAGAAATAAGCCCACAGTGGGAAAAAAAAATGTGACAGGAGCAAAAGTAGTGGTTGGGGTTCAGAGGGTTAATATTATTTGAAGTAGCACCGAGACATGTGCAAATGTAATTTCTTCTTTTGTTTTATTTTATCAGTGTTATTCGTGAATCTCTGTTCTGGTTTCATCTGAAGTGCTGCTGTGTAAGAGCGTTGTCCTCCTACAGTTAACCCGACATAACAGCGATGTAGATGTATGCTCGTAGGTAAGCATAATCTGAAATTCAATCACCCCTGTGGAACTCAGTCACATCCAAAGCATACATACTCTAAAATTCTGCTGACCAAACACTCCTCAAGTGCCAGCATTTATCTTCCTTTAGATATATTCCAATACAGCACTCCATCCAGCAATCCTTTTATCCCTTCATTTGAAAAACTATTGAAACAGAAAAAGAAAGATTTCAGCCCAACTCCCTTCCCATCAATCACAATCATCTGTATCTGCATAAAAAGTCATTGAGATTCCGTACAGGGGCGGCAGATCATATTATTTCTATAAAGCATGTCTTGGTGGCATGATGTATCATATTGGCACATGGAGCTTTGCACTCTGCAGCTGCAAAGCCCTCTGAAACAGCCTCTGGCAGATCAATAGCTATTACGCAGGTAATGAACAAATGGGAGCTATTAATGCTGTACCATATCGTCCACTTACTCACTGCAGTCCAGTGGAATCTGGGTCCAACACTGTGTACAAGCGCTATAATTCCAGCTGAGCCGTGGAAAGCTTTTACACCAAGTAGAGATGAGCTATTTTAGAATGAGGATTAAGGTGTAAATCAAAGCAGAATGTACATACGAATGGTTACATCACTTCTTATCCATCCAAAAAAACGATTCGTCTGATTAAAAGGCCTTCATGCCACGAGCTTACATCACTGAAAGCAAGACGGAGGGCCCATTCAGTGAAAGCAGACAAATTATCAGCGCTAAAGGTGAAACAGAGCTGTAGAAGAGACAGTGATGTGCACCGTTTTGAAGAGATGACATCTTGTATGTCTCTAACAGCCATGCATTCACTAAGAGGAGATATATAAACAGCCCAGCTTACGTGGTGCAACAAAAATGCACAGTATGCAGGTCTGGAGACAATTTATGGCTCAGACCTGCTCAGAACGATGCCGTCGCCTCCCGTGTGATAACCGCAACCTCTCCAGAACCCCCCCCTCCGACTTATCTCTCGGCATTCAATCAAACCTTCGGTGTTGCAGAAACCATTATCAGCTTGAAATTCATTCAGAAGATTACAACTTGAGCTATATTACTTTTACAGTCTTGAGAATCAGACGGCTTCCCGATGGAGGCTGCAATATATCTCTCCCAAGAGCAACTCTCTGCAAATATATATTAGTGTGACTATTTAAAACTCGGGAACATGAATAAAGCATGGCATTAAATGAAATGTAACACTCCTCCGCACAGACGGTAAAATTATATATTATTATTAAGTTTTAGATACAAGGTAGTCATTGCGTTATTGTTATGGAATTTTACTTTGAATATTAAATAAGATTTCATATGTCGCACACTGTTACTGTAGGATTCACTCACAGCACATTCCCGGCTTCTGCAAGAAAAAAAAAAAAAAGAAAGAATAAAAAATACACACTGATCTTTTGCTAAACGCGACTCCAGCTTTCTTTCCTTGAGCAAGAAGCTGCATCGCATTCACCAAATCACCCACACTTTGGCCTGCATACAGCCGATTATAATTATTCTAAATGTAAGACAGAACCACTGTAGCTCTGAGTTAAAGAAGCACTTTGTTGACTTAATAATTGCATCACTAAAGGATAAAGATGTTTAATTTAGTCCGCTTATTGTTTCAAGTGTGTACGTGAAAGAGTTTATACTTGTGAATGTGGTGTAGGACGGAGAAAAAACCTCTTCTGTGTCACTAGTATAATACTAACAAGCTAATGTTTGGCCCATTTCAAATGACATGATTGTTCTTGAGATCGCTATCATGAAAGTAAAATTATACGAGCATGATTAAGGTAGAAGCCTATTAATTAATAGCATTTTTCTTTTCTATTTGCTGTATTTCATAACAGTTGTAGTCTGGCAAAACTAATGTTTATTCTTATTCAAAAATCTACTTTATACAGACTCAAGTATGTCAGCTAGGTCACCAAACATGGTTACAAAAAAAAAGAAGCATTTTAAACACGTAGCTGCACATAAACATGACTAATGTGCAGCGGTTATGGAGTTAATCCAGAGAGGCCATTAGTACCCACTTCTAACGACAAATGATTTAAGATTTGGAACAAGATGTTGCGCTGCAGCGTCTGGTGGCCATTTGTGAGGGTGACATGGCAGACGAACAGAAACTTGAACACAAACATGTAAATACACGATAAACTCTAATAGTAATTGAAGATTTGTCACATTATAGTTTGTTAGATGAGCAACATGTGAACACGTCAGCAGAGTGGTGCCACACTATGGTCAAGACGTGCACCTGCACCTGTTCGCTGTTTTCTCTTTCTGTTCTGTCAGAACTTTTGTTTTCGAAATCTAGTATAGTAAAGTAAAGTATATCCTCGACTAGTTTACTCTTTCAGATCTGCATCTGTTGGGAACACTGTGCTTCCAGGGGGTACAAAAACAAGGGATTTTCAGTATGAAGCAACAACATGCCATCAGAGGGAAAAACACCTCTTTATATGTAAGCCAGTCTCCACATGTGCTCAAGGGAAGGAAGCAATATGAAGACTTTCACCTGTCTGTTAAATAAAAACATCCACTGATTTAATATATCCAAATGCTTTAACAAAAGAAAACGAGCATTACTTGATGTTTAATATGATTATGCTACACCGGCTTCTATCAGCAGGTATGAATTCTGAAAGTAGTGAGAGTCCTTATAAATTCTCTTTTGAATTAATCAAATCACTTAAACTTCAGCTGTGTCAGTCTGACATTACAGCGAGTCTGGTCGGGTCTATTTTTAATCGCTCCACACGAGGCTTGACCTTTCATTGACTGTGCTCTTTCAGCATAAACACAGGCTTCTGAAAGACTTTTGGGAGGAAAAAAAAAAAAAAAAAGTTGCGTTTCTTTTCAAAAAATGCACAAAACTCCGCGGGGATTCTTCCGATAAAAGCAACGGCTACACACAAAAAAACACAATGCAATGAAAAACAGGAGGTAAAAAAAAATAAAACAAACATCCATGACATTTAAGATTTTATGCATCGACTTTTTCTATTCTGAGGCGAGAAGTAGAGCGCAATCTTCGACAGCTGGCAGCAAAATCAACAGAGTTTTTTTCTGGTTTCTCTCGCTGATACACCCTCAGCCCTGAGTGCCAACTTCATGTTTACTAGTTTATTAGATGCTTGATCTACGACTATCACATGCTCACAAAGGCAAACATAATTTGATAGTGTATAATGGCATTAACATAATTTCCTGCTGTCGTTGCCCTTTGGTCGCCCTGCATATTTCAAGTGATTTCTGAGCATAAACATGCAAATGATGTCTGATACTTGGGAAAACATCTCGCATGTTAATAGAACGGATACACACACTTGAATACAATTAAAATGCATTTGGCACGCCTGAGATCAGGACGCTTATTTGTTCCCATGAATTAATTCATACAAATCAGAGATCACTCTTCTTTGCTCATTTGTCTCTTAAATACTGTGGCAATTGTTTGTTTACTTCCAAATAAAGCACAAACATGAGCCAGTTTGTGACTCAAGCGCAGAAATCTTTCGGTGAGCAACAAGCTGCAGGGTTCTCTTATTTGTCAGGAAACGGGTACGAATTCAATTTCATGATTCAGGCCTTACATACAAAGACATTAGCTTCACTCATCTTTATTGGCTTACTGTAATTAACTTTAGTGCAGCTTGTTTGTTATTTGATATCCTTAAAGGTACAACCGCACAAACAATTAGGTTTTATGACGACACTCGATCAAAATGAGAGATGGCTTTAGTGCGATGAAAGTAAACTAACACCATGTGTCTGCTGCAAAAGAATGCCATATTGGACGAATTAGAAAGTCAGAGATAAATATTTCATAGTCATACAAGGGCCTGAAAAAAGGAAGGGTGAGGCAGACCTTTCCATATAGCACGGCTTACAGTGAAGAGATCATGCATTCACTTGATTTATATCCCGCAGCTGCTGAAGATATTTAGAAGTTTAAACTTTTCTCTGCTGTCCCGCTGAGATAAATAATGAAGCTGCGTTTTCATGGTCTAGAGCAAACTCTATACTCTGTTGATGTAGTGTGAGGTGTAGCGGTGCGCTCACGTATTTTTA